CCACCTTAGGTGTATGTGGCTGGCGCCTTAGCCGCTTGAGCCACAGACGCCTAGCCAGTCTCCATCTTTTTAATGGCTGAATAATATTCCATGGTATACATATACCACAGTTTGTTGATCCATTAATAGGTTGATGGGGATGAGGGTCCACGACTTAGCAATTATGAATTGAGCCACAATAAACATTCTAGTGCAAAAAAATAATAATAATTGGCTCATAGAATGCTCTTGGTTGGGGCGGCGGGGGGGAGTTGGGCGTGGGTAGGAGGGTTTAACCAAAGGTTTGAATTTCAACCCAAACCACTGTTGTGATGGAAGCTACTTTGCAAAATCAGGATCATAATAGCTACTTTTGTCATGATCCAAAGTGGGATTGTGTACATAAGCACAAAACCAGGCACCCAATGTTCATACAACACTTTAATATATTTGTTTACTCATGCATTTCTCTCCCCTCTCCAACTAAACGTTCCTACAGCTTCTAAACAGTCCAGGAATTTATCAAAAGAAAGCCGAAGCGGGGTGGCGGGGGAGGGCGTGCCCGGTGTATCAGTCAGGGGGTCTGTCCAAAACGCAGGACCGAGACTCGGCCCTAACACTTGTTTCGGACTAGGACGCGGGAGGCAGGACGTCGCCAACAGATCAGACTTCGCCCTCCGGGACAGGAGAGGACCGGGAACCGGCTTGAAGGCAATGCGGTACAACGGCTGGAGCCATGGAGACCCAAGCCATTTAGGTAAACCTCACTCTTCGTGAGGCATGTTCGAAGAGGGATGATAAGAGGCACGAAATAACATAGCCTCAAGTCCCAGTGTGGGCAAACCCCCAACCAGCGCGCGGGACTCTTCAGCGCCTTGGAGACTCCGGAGCCGGAAGCGGAGGTCCCGGGAGCGCCCGAGCGAGGGGGGCGGGACGCCCTCCCGGAAGTCCCCGGGCCGGCCGTGCGCGCGGCCTAGCGGTCTCTGCAGTTTATTGGGAGCGCGACGGGCGGGATTTGGCAGCTAGGCTGAGCTCTGTGCTCAGTGTCAGTTACCCGGGCAGGACTTTGTTTACGTAGGGCTGTGATTCCCACGGCGCCAGGCGCTGAGGGATCCTGGACCTTGTCCCGCCCCAAGAGAGAAGCGGGTTTGACTAGCTGAGGTCAAACGCGTAGTTCCCCAGTCCCAAAGAGCAGGGGCAGAATGGACCGGCTCCTAACGCCCAGAGAATCCGCCAAATTCATTGCAGAAAACAGTCGGGATGTGTTCATTGACAGCGGAGGCGTTCGAAGGGTGGCCGAGTTGCTGTTGTCCAAGACGTCGGGGCCTGAGCTAGGCGTGGAGGGGTGGAAGGCCCTTCATGAGCTGAACCCCAGGGCGGCAGATGAAGCAGCGGTCAACTGGGTGTTCTTGACAGACACGCTCAACTTCTCCTTTTGGTCGGAGCGGGACGACCGCAAATGTGTGGTGGTGTACAAGGAAAGAAAGTACACTGGGTACTGGTCCCTGTGTGCCGCAGTCAACAGAGCCCTGGACGAAGGTTGGTGCTCTCGGTCAGACCCGACAGCCTTTGAGGCTCTAGTTTACTGGGCTCCCAAGGAGTGGGTTGGGAGATAGAGTAATATGTTAAGGAGGCGAAACGGAAGTTCTTGCAAGTCTCTCTGCTTAAATATATGAGAAGACGTGTATTCGTGGGAAATGATCCTACTATTTATCATAATCCCAGAATAGGCACAAAAGTTAGTTTTCTAAACAATACTTTAATGACACCTAAAGAGTTAAAGGACAGACCTAAAACATTGTACACGGTCAAAATACATCTGATATAATGTTACTATAGTTAGAAGTGGGTAAGTACACATGAACAAGAAAATGAGTATTGCTTTTATTATCATCCAGTTTTGGTTCATTCCAGTAACATTTGGTTTCATATTCATGGCATGTTGTAAAAGCAAGGGTCTTAATGAACATAGTGGTATAACATTGTTCTTCTAAATTTTCTTTTATTCCTAAAGGGATACCATTAACTAGTGCCTCGTACTATGCCACAGTGACCCTGGATCAGGTTCGCCATATATTTCGTTCTGACACCGACGTTTCCATGCCTTTGATAGAAGAGAGGCATCGGATTCTCAATGAAACCGGGAAAATTCTGCTGGAGAAGTTTGGAGGCTCTTTTATTAATTGTGTGCGAAAAAGTGAAAATAGTGCACAGAAGTTAATGAACTTGATTGTTGAAAGTTTTCCTTCTTACAGAGATGTGACGCAGTTTGAGGTGAGTTTCTTCTGTCGGGGATTTTAGTAGTTGTAATAGTCCTTTCAGAGAAAGCAGGGATGGTTAGTGGGTGCAAAAATATAGTTAGGTAAATGAGCAATATTTGATAGCACAACAAAGTGCCTATAATCAACAAGTAAGGGTATACTTTAAAATAACTTAAAGAGTGGAATTGGAATGTTCGTAACAGAAAGAAAAGTTAAAATGCCCAAGATAATGGATAATTCAGTTACCCTGATTTGGTTAATCCACATTGTATGTATGCCTGTATCAGAACATCACATGTACCCTGTAAAGATACACAACCATCATGCACCCATAATAATTAAAAATGCTAAAAAAAAAAAAAAAACTTATCAGAGTTAACTCATTCACTTCCAGAACTTGTTTTTATAATAAAAACTTAAGTTTTGGCCTGGCACAGTGGCTCATGCCTGTAATCGCTAGCACTTTGAGAGGCCCAGGTGGGTGAATTGCCTGAGCTTCAAGAGTTCAAGACCAGCCTGAGGAAGAGAGAGACCCCATCTCTACTAAAAATAGGAAAGCTAGCAGGGTGTTATAGCAGTCGCCTGTAGTCCCAGCTACTCAAGAGGCTGAGAGAAGAGGATTGAGCCTGAGAGTTTGAGGTTCCTGCGAGCCAACTCAGTGAGACTCTGTCTCAAATACGAACAGAAACCAAACCCAAACAACCTTAAATTTTCAAGTTCATTCCCTGTGGACAGGAAACAGAAGATTAAGTAGTGCTTCATTACTGCTTTGTGTTTTCCCTATTCTTTTGTCTTTTATTCTTTGTCCTCTTAAAATTTAAAACCTAAAAAACTACTGAATCCTTGTAGTACTTCAAAAAATGTACTTTATTGCTAGAATCAGAATGTGTACTCTAGTAGGGAACAGTGGTGAGAGCCTGTGGTTCTGTAGTCCCAGCCACCAGGAGGCCGAGGTGGGAGGATATCTTTAGGGCTGGAGTTTGAGGCTACAGTGAGCTATGATGGGTCATCTGAATAGTCATTGCACTTCAGCCTGGGCAACATAGTGAGACGCTATTTTTTTTAAACTTTTTTTATTGCGAGACTCTATTCTGTTGAAGAAAACAATGGGGAGGAGAATGTGTACTAAATTCTTTATAAGTATTGCAAAGTTCAATGTACTGTATATATACTATGAGTTTTCTTTTTTTTTTCTTGAGACAGTCTGAAGCTGTCACCCTGGGTAGAGTGCCATGACATCATCATAGCTCATAGCAGCCTACAACTCTGGGGCTTAAGTGATCCTCTTGCCTCAGTTTTTCTTTTTTGCCCTCAGTAGAGTGCCTTGGCATCACAGCTCACAGCAACCTCACACTCTTGGACAGAAGCAATTCTCTTGCCTCAGCCTTCCAAGTAGCTGGGACTATAGGCACCCGCCACAATGCTCAGCTACTTTTAGAGACAGGGTCTCACTCTTGTTCAGGCTGGTCTTGAACTTTTGAGCTCAGGCAATCAGTCACCCTGCCTTGGCCTCCCAAAGTGCTAGGAATACAGCATGAGCCACCCTGCCTGGCCACTTGCCTCAGTTTTTCTTTTTTTTTTTAATAGAGACAGGTCTTTATCTTGCTTAAGCTGGTCTCCAAATCCTGAGCTCAAGCAATCTACCCTCCTCGGCCTCCCAGAGTGCTAGGATTATAGGCTTGAGCCACCTCTCCTGGCTAGGTTTTCTTTTTCATACAATATTTGTTTTATGGCACAAAGAAATTAAATATATGTAGCTTTTAAAATTGTGAACTTTTGGCTCGGCGCCTATAGCTCAACCGGCTAAGGCGCCAGCCACATACACCT